ACAAGAGACCTTGGAGGAATGCTGCTTACTGGCTTGTTTCCAGGATCACATTCAGGTACCTTTCTTATACAGCTCAGGTCCATTTGCCTAGGGATGGTACTGTCCATAGTGAGCTGGACTCTCCTACATCAATTAGCAATCAAGAAAATGCCTATAATGGGCTGGAGAGATGGTTCAGCAGTTAAGAACATTGACTGCTCTTGCAGAGGACCTGGGTTCAGTTCCCAGCACCCACATGGTGGCTAAGGTGCACTTACATATATGTAGGCAATACACTTATACACATAAAATAAAAATAATAAAATATTTTCAAAAAGAAAATGCCCTATGGACATGCCCACAGGCCACTCTGATGGCAAAAATCCCTCAATTCAGGTTTCTTCTTCCCAGGTAAGTGAAGTTGACAACTGAAGCTATCTATGACACCCCCCAAAAGGCTCACATGCTGAAAGCTTGCTTCCTAATTCAGCAATGTTTAGAGTGGGGCTTTAGGGAAGTGATTGGCTCAAGGGCTCTGACCTAATCCATGGATGAATTCTTTAGGTCTAGCTGGAGGAAGTAAGTTGCTGGGGTTATGCTTTTGTAGGATGTCTCGGTCCCAGGCCCTTGCTGATAGTCTCTGTTTCCTGGCTGCCATGACAAGATCAGCCTTGCTCTTTCATGCCTTTCTTCCATGATGTTCTATCTCACTATGTCTGGAAACAATGGAGCTGGCCAGTCATAGGTTGCAACCTCTGAAGCCATGAACCCAAATAAAAGTTTCCTCCTTTAAGTTTCTGTCAGGGACTTTTCACAGCAATGAAAACCCAAGTATTACACAGTATATATGCAGAGTATCTACTGTAGCCGCTCTGTATTACCCACATGAGAGACGAAGGACAAAAGAAACCTTTGCAAACATGAAGCTTATGTTGCCTGCTGTTCCACGAGTAATGGAGTCTCTTGCCTTTGATCTGTGAATTTCATGTCCTTTCCACATTCAAGAACCACTGAAACTAAGGCAGGCTACCTTGTTAACTTGCAAATGGGATAAAACCTTGGATTGTTACAGTTCCTGAAACCTCAATGTACACTCCACTGTAAGTGCCTGAAGAGTACAGACTGTGAACTTTGCCTTCTCTGTGGCTGATACAAGGTTGTCAGTCACTGAAGTTGCTCAAAAAGTGTAGCTGTAAGACTGGGCATATGGTTCAGTTGTAGAGACCATGCTTAGCATGCCTGAGGCCCTGAGTTCAATCCCTAGCACCACCAGAACCAACCAAAAAACCAACCAAAAAAACCAACCAAAGCCCCTAAATAATTCCTGCTTCTAAGTTAGCTTTGGTCTAAAGAAATTTGTTGTGTTTTAGGTGCTTTATTTTTTTGAGACAGGGTCTGACTACATAGCCCTGACTGGCCTAGCACTCACTATGTAGACCAGGATGGCCTTGAACTTTCAGAGATCCACCTGCCTCTGCCTCCTGAATGCAAGCGCTGGGATTCTCCACGTGCACGCCCATGCCCAGCTTAGTCTTTGAATGTGAATACTCAGCTGTATTTATGAATCCAGCTCAAAGTGAAGGTCTCAAAAGCATGGTTTTTGAACTTATCCTATCCTCCTGTCTCTGGTTTCTTCCACCCAAGGCAAGCCACAGAAATTAGAATTTCTCTTATCCAACACAAGCAACTTAGAACGTCCCTTCCCCCCTAAACAAGCCTTAATGCTTACAAATAAGACAGCAAGTCTCCCCCTCGCCCCTGACCCTGCCTGCTTTGGAGCTGGTGATAAAGAAATTCTCTGACCTATCTTGACTAATAGTAGGTGATAAGACTGCTATTTTATTTTTTCATTCGTATGTGTTGTATATATGAATTTTGCATGTTCATGTGTGTGCAGATACATGTATATGCAGGCATGTGTGCATATGCATGTGGAGGCCAGACATGTTGGGTTGCCTCCTCGATTGCTGTTTATTAAGGCAGGGTCTCTTGCTGACCCCAGAGCTTGCCAAGTTCAGCTATTCTAATCAGCTACTAGGGCTTACCTGTCTGCATCCGGAGTGCTGAGCTTACAGGCCAACTGCCATACTTGCCTGGCTTTTATGTGGTTTCTGGAGATCTGAACTCCCAATGCTAACACTTGCACAGCAGGCACTTTACCACTGAGCCATCTCCCTAGCCTAGAACTTGGTCATGTAGGCCTGTAATTTCAGCTACTTAGAAGGCTGAGGCAGAACGATGCCGAGTTCAAGGCCTGTCTGGGCAACTTAGTAAAAGACCAGGTCTCAAAATAGAAAGTGAATAAGGGCTAGGGATATAGCTCAGTGGTAGGGTGCTTGCCTAGCATGTGGGAGACCCTTAGTTTAATATATCAACAAAACAAAAACCCTCCATTTCAGAAAGGATCCTACTCCATACCTGGAGGGACAGAGCACCGAAGAGAGACAGGCCTTGCTGGCTCCCTGCTCAGTCTATTATATTAGATTACACCCTTTTGTTCACTTGTATTTCTCTGCTTCATTTGAACCTAAGCATAAAAATCAATAATTCACCTGAGGTCTTTGGGCTCTTCAGTTTGATGGCTCATGTGTCAAATAAAACCATGATCACATAAATGTGTTGTATTTGTCCTGCCGGCCTTTGTGTTGGGTGTCAGCCACATCTTTATAAGGAGCAGGAACGATCTTTTCTATGCCTCTAATTCTTTGTGTAGCTACCTGTTTCCCTTGGCCATTAAGCACTGCCCACATACTTTAGGTTTTCAGATGAAAGTCTCAGACTTACGTCAGAGAAAATGAAGTCATTTGGAGACCAAAATTCCTTGAGATAATTCATAATGTGAATAACGCATTTCAGGTAATTGAGGTGACTAACTTAGCAGACAGGTTTTCAGGTGGCGGTGTGGGACAGTTGGGATGGGAAGGCCAGTTTCCCCACCTCCTAGCAAAAGCAGCAAATAGTACCAGAGCAGATTAGCTCCCAGGGGGCCACCACATACCAACCTGCCTGAGTTTGAATAGGGAATAAATCAGGGCTCTGGAGCCTGATCTCTTAGAAGCAAGGGCTCAGCCCATCTAACTTTTTACAGCAAAAGTAATCCCAGCCACCGTCAGGCAAGACTGTTGGCTGCACTTGCTCATGGGAGAAACCTGCTAGGGTGCAACTTTAAGCTTGGGTTGGGTTTTGGATTGGGGAAGTCCAACTCCTATCCTTTTCCTGGCGTGGGAGAGTGGAACCTTGACAGTACCTGAGTAGAGATGGAGTTCAGAGATAAATGGGTTCTGAGTGTGTGTGTGTGTTGGGGAGGGGGCTTTGCTCTCAGTCCAGTTCAGCTGTACGTCTATTAAATATTGTTAAACGTCACCCCATAGGTTAGACAGATCCATGGGCTAAATTACTTGAAGTGGTTGAATTGAAGCCCCATTCTACTCATATCTTAGATACTGTGTGGTGCATGCCTGCGGAGAGGTGTTTTCTCTCTCTCTCTGCCTGCCTGTCATGTATAAGCATGGGGACTTTGGGATTTCTCAAATGCTTTCCACTTTACTCTCCAGAGACAGTCTCTTTTATATTTTAATTATTATTATTGGTATTTTTGAGACAGAGTCTCTCTGTCTCTTTTTTATATTTTACTTATGATTATTGGAATTTTTGAGACAGGGTCTCCCTGTAGCCCCAGCTGGCCTTGAACTAACAGAGATCTGCCTGCCTTTGCCTCTGAAGTGCAGGGATTAAAATTAAAGGCCGGCACCACCACACCAGGCCTTTCTTCTTATTTTACATGTATGAGTGTATTACCTGCAGGTATGTAGGTGCACCTGAGTTGTGCAAGGCTCACGAGGTCAAAAGAGGGCGTTGGATGGATCCCCTATAACTAGAGTTACAGATGGCAGCTGGCCACCACGTGGGTGCTGGGAACCGAACCCAGGTTCTCTGCAAAAGCAGCCAGTGCTCTTAACCGAACCTGGAGTTAGTTGTTTCGGAGTTAGGCGAGCAGCCAGCGGGCCCCATCAATCGTCCTGTATCTGCTGCTGCCTTAGAGTTACAGGTGGTTGGTCACACCCGGCTCTTTCCGTCGGTGCTGGGGATCCCAGCTAAGGTTCTCCCGCGGGCACAGTAAGCGTTCTTACCCACGGAGCCATCTCCCAAGGCCCCATTTCTATCTTGATTAGACTGCTCTATTTTTTTTCCTGTTTCACGCTGTAGCCCAGCCTAGCCTCGAACTCGCCGCAATCCTCCTGCCTCAGCCTTCCGAGTGCTGGGATTACAGACTACAGACGCAGGTCCTTTCTCCTGCACATCAAGAGAACTTGAGAGTAGCATTCTAAAGATTGGTCTACATGATTCCTACAGCTCTGTTCCCAGGCGTCTCACCCAGGGGAGGCTTGTCTCCCTAGGGCAGCCCGTGTTCTGCGCCTGTGTGAAGCCATCGCACGCCGGGGTGGGGAAGAAGCTGCAGAAGAGCAACCCTGAGGCTGAGAAGAGCAGGGGAACGGCTCAAGTTTGTTCCTCCGTCACTCACGCTGTAGCCCAGCTTAGCCTCGAGCTCCGCGTGGCAAGGACACGGCTGTGGGCGGTGAACCGAGGCGGGGGGGGGTGGGTGCCGATGGCGCGCTGCGCCGGCTACTTCCTGCCGGGACTCCCACTCGGGGTCGCCGCTCAAGCCCAAGACCAGCCGCAGCGCCCAGGAAGGTGAAGTGGGCCACGTGACCCTCTGGTGCCGCCCCTCCGACGTGCGTCCTCGCCCTCCGTCCCAGCCCCTGTGCCCCCGCGCGGGTGCCGTTGCACCGCCTCCGCCGTTCTTCGGCCCCTCGCCGCTGGGGCTGCCCCGGTCACTGCCTGACCCGAGGCCCGGCGGCTCCTACTCCTCCTGTCTCCGCAGGACGGTCCAAGACAGCCCACTCCTGGGGCCGGCGTGCCCTCGGCCCGCGTGGCCGCTCCGGAGCAGGTGGGAGTCGGCGGCGGGGCGGTGTTTCGCTAACAGGCGCGGCGGGCAGCCCGGAAGGCCGCGGCGGGGTCCTGGCTGGGGGAGGCCAGGCTTGCGGGTGGGGGGTGGAGAGCGCAACAGTGTCTCCTTCACTTCGCCCTCCAGCCGCGGCGGCTGCAGCGTAATCCCGACACAGCCGAGCAGCCTGAGCAGCTAGCCGAGGGCGGCGGCGGCGCTCCTCAGGACACCCGCAGGTAGCGCGGCGTCCGCCCCATGCCGAGTCCCCGGGCCGAGACCGCAGGGGCAGCCTCCGCGGGTGCGGAGCGGCCCTGCTCCCCTAAGATGGCCGCGCCGGCCCTGGCCTGTCGCCCCTCGGTGTCCGAGACCTCCTTGGGGCCCTTTGACCGTCCCCTGACCGCACTTATTGTCCTTTCCACAGATCACCTTTTCCCCACGGCTTCGCCATGGCAGACTGTGTACGGACCTGCGCGCGGCGTAAGTAGAGCCGGGGACCGATGCAGGATACGGCTGCAGCGGCGGCCGGTCCTGGACCCCCGTCACTCCCAGGTCATTGGAGCCCTCCCCCATCCCGCGTCCTCGGGGTCTGGCTGCAGCCCCTGCGGTCAGATTTGTTGGATTTCAGACCTGGGGGCTCGCGCCCGGGGCGTTGGTCTGTAGCCGCACCACTGTTTGCTTTGGGATATGTCTTTGACGAATTTGAAAGCAAAACTACTAGTTGTTGAATTCCGCCCAGGGGGAGAATAAGATCAGTTACTTTCCCGGAGGTAGGGGAAATCTTTCCGCCTGGTGAGGGACGGAGCACAAGGTCATTGCATGTGCTAAGGGCGTGGACGTGCTCGGTGGAATGAATGAGCTGGTGCAACAGCTCAGATTCCTTGCCCTTAAGCCTCGCTGCATTGGCCACAGACTTGGGAGTCATATGAATATGTTTAAAAGTGTCATTTGATAGTTGATGCAGACACTGAAGCATAGATGGCTGCTTGCTTTCTGTGTCCCAAAATGTCAGTCCCAAGAGTGTTAAGTTCTCCTCTGTTCTGAGGGTTGGTTTTGATTTCGGGGAGGGTACCCAGGGATTTGGTACCCGGAAAGGGCCCAATCTTAAGTTTTGATTTTTGTTTCATTTGATTAAATCAGCCCGTCCGTGTGAATTCTGGGAGGTGCATGTACACTTTGGGATATTTTGTACTAGGCTGGAGAGGCTGTAGGAATAAAAAGCACCCCCCCCCAAGCAATTGTTAGAACTTTACAAAGTTTATATAATAACCACATAATTATCGTTTAGAAACATGCTTTTGTTAGGGATGATTCCTTTATGAGCTATTAGAGTCAGTTTTATTGTAGTTCCTAGTGGCATCAAAAAATGTAATTCTTGAAAATTGTACTACTTGGATAGGTCATAGTTCACCACCGAAGACTGGAGAGCAGCAACATTAATTCTAGAATGTTTCTTTTTACTAGCAATGTGTATCCCTCCATCATATGCTGACCTTGGCAAAGCTGCCCGAGATATTTTCAACAAAGGATTTGGTAAGGACTTTTTTTCCCTTTAATTTTAGCTTAAAAGAGAAAATGAATGCTTAGATTCCTTCAAGAAATTTACTTGCTTTGTCAAGCTGTAACTATCCTGATATGTTAATTATTCTGATGGATAAGTTTTACATGAAACCGCTGCATTTTGTTTGCCTGGAGATTGCTCAGTGTTTTCTTTCTCTCAAAACTAGAGTTTATGAGTTTTAACCTTTTAAGGAACAAGCCCCCCCCCTTTTTTTTCTCAGTTTTTTTTTTTTTTCACTTAGGCCTTGGTTGGGCAGAGTTGGCATGTATTACTCTCTGACTTTTATGGTTGTGACTCCTGACAACCTGAAGGTTTATGGGCTTTTTGGTGTGAATTTGAGGTCCCTTGTTCCACATATCCCCTTGTTCCTTTTGGGGATACCCCTTTGGGGATAAATAAATGTCCTAAATGCATTACCATAAACAATTTGGCTATTCTGAGATTTAATTGGAATTGATTTGGTCACATTTAAAAATAGTTCGAAAGTATTTGGTGGGAGGTGGAAGCCAACTGTACCCCAGCATGTTCTTTACCAAGACACCTTAGGTGGGACTGCTTTTTAAGTTTTCATTGTTACTGTATAGTAATACATTTTTGGCTTCTGTGGATGTTGGAATTGTTTTAAATGTGTTGTGAATAACAGGCGTGATCTTTTAAACAGAAGAATCATTATCTTTGCTCTATTCTTTGAAGGCTTTGGACTGGTGAAGCTGGATGTGAAAACAAAGTCATGCAGTGGTGTGGTAAGTATTGACTAATAAAGTCTCATGAACCTTTATAATTTCTCAGTCTATAAAATAACTGAAAGATGTGTGCCTGTTTTGCCTTGAGACAGAAATTAATTTGATTCAAGTTATTTATGTGTAGTCTGATTTATTGGCTTTGTATATGACTTCTGAGTTTCATGTGGTTTTGCCTTATATATATTTCTGTGATTACACTAAGAACTTGGGAAAGATGTTGGTATTTTCGGACTGTTTACTCAGGTAGATGGCAAGCTTGAAGGCAAGAAGTCTGTTAGATTCTTGGAATAAAATGGCTATATTTTAGCAGTCTTCCATGGAGATTTCTACATATGCCTTATGAGTTAATGGAATTCTGATGTGAAGATTCCTAAAGTTTAATATTTTGGTATATGTTGATCCTTCTA